TGTGACGGGAAAAGTGCTGGCCGCGGGGAGGCTCGGGAGCGGGCGCAACGGCCGCTCTGCCTCCCCGCAGCGGGAGCGCCGGGGAAAAGCCCCGCAGCTTCCATCTCTTCTCGGCCACAACCCTGCTTAAACAGATCAATAAAAACAATAATTAAAACTCAGCTTCAGCCGTGCAAAAGGAGTTGATCCCGGCCTTTTATTTTATTTTATTTTATTTTATTTTATTTTTAAACAAGGCTTTTAAGGAGCCAGTTCTGAGTTTAAAGTCCTCAGCAAATGTGGGGGACGGGACGCAAGATTTCCTTTTAACGTCCGGTTATTATGTAACCCATCAGTCCGGCAGTGAGCTCCGGGGTTAAACGGAAAATAACGTTTCAAACGCTGCTGCCGAGGGCCACCCAGAGGACACGGCAGGGAGGGCGCTGCSAGCGCGAGTGCGCGGGGGGAGCCCAGGGTGCGCGGCGCTTTCGGGGCACCCGCTTCCCGAGGAAGGGTGCCTCCCGARGAATGCTGCTTCCCGAGGAAAGCTGCTTCCCGGGGAGCCCCAGATGCCGCATTTCCACCCCGTCATGGGCATGTGCGAGAAGGGCCAGGGGCTCGGGGTTTACTGCTCAGCCCCTCTGTGCACTGCTCTGCGCATCCCTGGGAACACATTCGGGAAGGAGGGAGGGAAGACACGATTTCAGCCATCTCCTCAGGGTGCTCATGTCAGGAAGCCCACGCTCTCCCTTGCAGAGCTGCTGAGCAGCTCCACATGGTTTCCGTCAAAGGTGCGAACGCCTCAGATTTTGCGTGTAGGGTGTCAAGTTGGATRTGACCAACCGAGTGAATTTGCGGACCCAGCTGCAGCCCCAGTGGCCGGCACCTTTGTGCCCTCGAGTGGCAGGTGCCACCGGCCCACAGAGGTGCCTTGGCCCTCCTGCGCCAGCTGCCATTTTGTGCGGCTCCCCACCTACTGCCCCGTCTCCCACATTACCCCCGTCCTGCCATCCCCCTGTCCCGTCCCTTCATGTCAGGCTCCCAAACACACCCCTTACACCCACTCGTGTGCCCCGCACTCCCCCCAGATGGCTCTTTGCCACTCCATGGAGGTGCCTTGTCCCCCTGCACCAGCCACCATTTTGTGCCGCTCCCCTCCAGCCGCCTGGCTCTAGGTCCCGCCATCGCCCATATCCATCCCCTCCTGTCGGGCCCTGCTCCCAGCGCAGCACCAACGTCATGGCAGCACTGCTCTTCCCAATGAGTGTGCCGGCTGTCCTTAGACGAGCAGTTAGGTTCTGCCTCCACCAACTCTTCCTGCATGGGAAGCACTTGGCCCCGTGACTCAGGTCCCCTTGCAGCCTTGGGCCCAGACAGCACAGTTAAAATGCTGTTGACTCCAAGTCTTTGCATTTTACCAGAAGGTGCTAAAAAGAAGGCATATTTTATTATTATTTTTTTGTTTTGTTTTGTTATTTGCTTTCTTGATTGGGAGCCCTGAAATTATTTTTTTTTTCTGAAGTTTTTCACTACAACACTCAGGGACAAGATTACTTGTCTTTTTGTCCCAAAATTGAGGTTCATTCTTAATTACACTGCATTATCCAAGTGTGAGAAGCTTTATGTTCAAATGAGGACTGTTAGCAATGCAAAAACTGCCTTCATTATTGTCTGGGTTAGAAGCTGGAGACATGCGTTTTGCAGGCATGTACTTTTTAATGGAGGATTCACAAAAGAATTGTCCTTGCAGGATGAAAGGAATATAACCAGCAATGGCAGGAATGACTGCAGCATGTCCATCAGGAGACACACCAAGGATTTTTTAGGACTGCACCAAACCCCTRGAGTTTAAACCAAATGCTGTTCTCAGTTCCTTTGATCCGATGCTTCATGTTGTCTGCTCTGATATCCAGACATCGCAGAATCACAGATTGGTTGAGGTTGGAAGGGACCCCTAGAGATCTAGTCCAACCCCCCTGCTCCAGCAGGGACACCCAGAGCACCGGGCTCAGGGCGGCATCCAGGCGGATTTGGAAGATCTGCAGAGAGGGAGACTCCACAACGTCCCTGGGCAGCCTGTTCCAGGGCTCTGGCATCCTCACAGGAAAGAAGTTCTCCCTCACATGGAGACAGACTAAACCCTCCTCATTTCGCTTGTTCTGCCAAATGCTTTTGACTTTATTGATTATTCAGTCCTCAAAAATGTTATTGTTCTCAACTCCTCTAACATTTCTTTCTTAAGTCTCTTCAGTATTTCYTCCAGAAGAGCCCTTCTGAAGGGCTCTTCTGGAAGAAATACTGAAGATCCACCTTTCAACTCTGTGCTGAACTGCTGTGCTCCTCTGCCCTTCCCCAAACCCTTCTTCATACATGTTTTATTTCTGAGTGATCCCTCCCTGGAAATCCTGGGTATTCCCGCCCTTTCAACCCATTTAAAATAGGGAAGAAATATTTCCCCTATAGGTTCTTTAGCTGTCCTCCCCTCTGGCCTATCCTACTCTGCCTGATACAGATGGCACCACATCAAAGCCAGAGCAACTGCCGGTTCCTCCAGGGAACGTGTCATCTCTCTTGATGTCTCCTGGGCAGCAGATTTCTGGGAGCCAGATGTGGAATTGCTTGAAACAGTAAGTATGGAGCATCCACACACAAAGATGCAGATCRCCGAATGAATAAACAGAGTATTTGAGAAAGCCATACAAGAGTAGCAATGTGACAGTTTTCCTCATAGTGAGTTTTTTCTTTTTTTAGTCTTTTTTTTACTTCTAAGTACTAAGAAACTACTACTAAGACTACTTAGACTAACTAAGACTATTAAGAAAAGTAGTCGCATGCATGCCTGTCTTGCAGGAACGTGCTGTGTTTGTGTTTCAATGGATGTGGAGTGGGGTAAAGCACAATTTGATTTCCCTGAAGGTCTGTTTCAGCTGTTTTGCCCCTCACCTGGGTGGCATAGACAACCTTTACTTATAATGAACTTCAAGTAATCAATTTTTTGGTTAATTGGGATTTGTTCTTTGCTGGAAAAGAAAACCACCTGGGGGGGGGGATATATTTTAGGTATACACAGGGTGAATATAGCCACAAGCAGTAAGAATAACATCAGCCCACCTGCTTGGAACGTTAAGCCAAGCCTTGCGCTTTTCTCACTTTCTCTAGAGAAGGGTTAGCAGAAGAGAGGTCTTCCGCTGAATACCTGCCTCTTCTGTACTCAGCCTGAAGTTCTGGTTTATACAAGGCTAAAGTTTAAAAAAAAAAAAAAAAAAAAGACGGGAAAAGAAAAGAAGAGACGATCTCCTCTCTGCTCTTAGCGCATTTTCGGCATCTTCTCCGGGAGAGCTCGGGGCGGCCGCGGGGAGGTCGTTGTTGCGGCCGCAGCGTGGCTGCCGTCCAGGCAGCGAGGCACGCACCGCGCACGCACGCACGCGGAGCCGCGGTAGCTTTAGCACGGGAGACGGGCGCTGGGCAGCGTCTGAGCTCCTGTTGCAGCAACGCCTCGCGCCCGCCTGCTCGCCCGTGCCGCTCCGGGGAGAGGGAAGGGCACGGAGACCCTGCTGGAGATGAGCACC